CTCAGAACTATTTCTGGGGACAATGGAGCCGTTGGGCATCATGAAGTCATCCTCTGGATCTTCATTCCAGACCCCTGGAGGGATGAAGTAGGAGCTCAGCCATTCTGTGATCACCCTCCCCTTCCCTGCAGGGCATTCAAGGAGTCACGTTCAAGCTCTAAGGAGGAGGGGGAAGAGCTGGGAGACCTCTTAATTGCATTAGTTTTTGGTTCAGTCTGCCAGGAGGAGGGAAGAAGACCAGGCCTTCAGCGCAGGCCCTTCTCCTTCAGTGAGGGAGGAGAAGAAAATGAAGGAGGAAATGGAGGAAGAAGGGAGGGAATGTGGGGTGCAAGGCAAACAGGAAAAAATGGGGGGAGGGACTAGAGGCAGGGACGGAAGGTGTGAAGCTGGTGGGAGGGAAAGGGCCCACCATCCCCAGAGCCCAACCCCTAAAGCCCCTAGGCTGCCCAGAACCCAACTGGAACTGCAGTTTTAGGAAGAGGACAGGAAGTGAGCATCGAAGGTAGCTGAAGTGGTTCCTGCTACTCTGCCCTCATGGTTCAGCTCCAAGGGCCCCGAAAAAGGAAACTCAGCCCAGAATGATGGCAGGCCCATGAGAGGGCTGCTCCTTGCAGTCTAGGGTCCTGGGTTCTTGGGGGCAGGTCTGAGCTCCTGCTATGGATGCTGCCTCAGAAGCAGGGGCCTGCTTCTTACCCAGAAGACCCTCCGTGTGGTGTTGATAATCCTCTGGGAGGCTGCAGGAGGCATGGAGGATGTTGGCGAGAGCCGTCACTGAGATGGTTGTCGTCCCGTCGAAACTGGCTGACACCAGGGAACCATTGAGGGTCATGATGATTCCGGTGCTGTTGAATATGTTCAGCCCTAGAAAGAAATTAGCCATGGGAGCTTGGGAGCCAAGACTTGGTAGTGGCGAAGGTTCAAGGTGCAAAGAGACTGAGAGCAGCTCTGGGATGCCCTGGGAATGTCTTCTCAGTAACTAAAAACCAAACACAGGACACACAGGACACCTCAAGTCCCACTGCTCTCCCTACTGCCTGAGTCTGAAGGCAGGGGCTACTGGAGAGGCGGCCACAGCCCAGGGGGAAGGAGAGAAGTGAGGAAGGGAAGTTCAATGCCTGGCTCCTGGTGAAGAGGCGACTGAAGGGACAGAGGGTGGTGGCCATGCTCCTCTTCCCTGGGCTGCTGCCTCCAAGCCCAGCACACTGTTCCCACGCACTGGGGACCCGCTGAGCCCTGGCCCAGGGAAGAAGGAGGTGGCTGGTGGCTACCTTCTGCATCTTCATGGTCAGGCTTAAATATCACGGTCTGGTTATTGAGCCGCACATGGATTTTGTCGTTGGGTTCCAGGAGCCACTGAACCTGAAAGGAAATTGGAGAAAACCTACATGTCCAAGAGGCCAGAGAGGAGCCTCTGAGCCTCTGAACCCTGAACCCTGCACAGATATGAAGGGGATGGAGAGTGGGGTGGCAAGGTGATGTGAGCTGACGTCTATGGCGTGCTGAGCATGGCCTGGCTCTGAATCAGACACTTTTTTTTTT